ACGCCATGGATCCGCCACCAGAGTCAGAAATGCTGGAACTCTGCTGGTAGGCCACGACCTCATGGTGACATTCAGATTAATAGAAATGGGTTAAATTAAGAGGTAAGAGTTAGCCAATAATAGAGCTAATGGGCCAAGCAGTGATTTAATTAATACAATTTCTGTGTGGTTATTTTGGGACTGAGCAGCCGGGCAGCCAGGACAAACAAGTGGCCTCCCTTCACCCTACACAGAAAAGGTCATTTGTTCAAAGCTGTCCTGGGGCAAATGAGATGGATTTCTGCTAAGAGTTTTTTCAGGTTTATCTGCCTTTAGGTGGGAACAAGTCAGCCAAGTATGAGGAGCTCTAGGGTAAGTATAAAAATTTAAAAAATTTTAAGTATCGGACTCTAATGTTGCCTGCTTGTATGTAAATTATCAATACACATCACACACACAAATACACACATACAAGTTAAAAACAGACACAATATAACTCAACATTCTTGATCACTTCTCATAAAACATTTCTGTACCTCAGGTTAGGAATTAGATCCCAAATAACACACAAAAAATTCCATATTCCAAGAGGCAAATTAAAAATTAAACACTATAGTCTACTCTTCCCTCTCAAGAGAACCAGTTACTTCAAACTTCAGGGATTATCCTATCTATAGATGGCTGAGCTTTAAGAAGACAAAGGAGGGGACAACTGTTTAAAGCAACAGCTGCAGAGGAACTAGAACAGATGGTACTCAATGGAATTCCTAAGGTCAGCTGTGGACTTTTGGACACTAATATGTGAGTTACTATTATAATATTTTTTAAAAAACTACTTTGAGATTATTTAGATTTGTAACTGAAAGAAAAAGTTCTTTTATGATTAACTATAAATACTCTGTGATTTGCTTCAAGATCTGCCCTTAACAGGTTTATTAAATTTTTAAGTTTGGTGGTAATCACCTAAAAATGAACATAGTAAAATTGCTGAACCCAGTCATCTTAAGTCAACACAAGTATAGTAGTCTCTATATACAGAGGTTTAATTCTGAATGCACTAACAGGGACAGGTAGTAACTAATGCTGGGGTTAAATCCAGAGGTTTATTTTTAAACTTTAAAATTTTGGTCTAATCCAATCTCAGGAACTTGTCACTTAAAAGATTTTTTGCCAGTTGTAGCCATAAAACCATGTCAACAAACCATATATCATGTGTTTTCCTGGAAAAATAATGGCTACAATTAGCCTTTATCAATTTCCAAGCTGGTTGGGTAGAGGTGGGGTACCTTTAGTCCCGGCGCTCAGGAGACAAAGGCAGGAGAATCTTGGCTATCCTGGTCTACAGAGCTAGTTCCAGAACAGCCAGGGCTACACAGAGAAATTCTGTCTTGAAAAACCAACTTGCTTTTTAAAGTTAAAAAAAGTATATAAATAACCTCATTTACTGTGATCTAAATTATTAACATGTAATGGTGCTATCCAATTAATCTTTCATTTTTCACAAATGGATAAAGTGAGGAATAATTTTATTTATTCAAAACAATGACATGAATTTTCTAGAAGAGTAAATGATTATTTATATATTGGCCACATTAGTATAGATCACTAGTTTTTGTTTGCTTGTTTGTTTGTTTTTTAAGACAGGGGTTCTCTGTGTAGCCCTGGTTGTTCTGGAACCTGCTTTATAGACCAGGCTGGCTTGAAACTCAGAGATCTCCCTGCCTCTGCCTCCCAAGTGCTGGGATTAAAGGCTTGCTCCCAGCAAGAACCAATCATATGTCAACATAAACAGACGGCTAACTAAAAACAGTTTTCAGTTTTGCTCCTCATTGCTGGTGAATTCTCAGCTCGAAATTGTGGCCTGGATATAATATACTATTCTAGATACTAGTTAAATACCAGTATTATGCAATGCTTCCAAATACTAGGTAAGTTCACTTCATAGTAAAATAGACAACTGTATGGTTTCTTTGTTGTTTTTGTTTATTAGTTTGTTTTCTGAGATGGTGTCGCAGGTAGCCCAGGCTGACCTTAAATTCCAAGAGTCCAAAATAGCTCTGATCTTTGGTCCTGCCTTCTTATACTTCCTCCTGCCTACTTAAACTTCTTAAGTGCTAAGCATTTGTGACCATAACTGCTAGTTTTATGTGGTGCAGAGGATTGAATCCAGGGTTTCAGGCATGCTAGATAAGCAAGTACTTCAACCCATCACAGTTAAAATAATTCCATGACTGAATACATGAATCATATAACAATAATAGAACTTATCACTCACTTCCTTAGAAAAGTCAGGGGTAGTGGCACACCATTTTAATCCCAGCAGTAGGGAAGCAGAGGCAGGCAGATCTGAGTTTGAAGTCTGTCTAGTCTTGAGTTCCAGAATTGTGAAGCCAGGGCTATACAGAAAAATCTGTCTCAAACCCATCAACTAACCATCTATTCCTCTGCTGAACTGTTCTTTGGGGTTAGGGAAATAAGTGTTGGTACCACTCAGACCTGAAATAGAAAGCATATTAGATTCCTACAACTACCACCACCACTGCTACAATTGTTACTGCAAATATTACTACCACTAAAACCGTCTCTTGTTTGAGATGTAGCTCAGTGGTGAAGCATTTATCAAGCATGCTTAAGGCCCTGGGCTCCATCCCTAGCACTGCAGGATTAGGTCTTGGCCACGCTGTTACCTAGGCTGGTTTCAAACTGTTGGATTAGGGTAATTTTCCTTGAAAGCTTCAGCATTCAGTTGGGCAGTAATGGTGCACACCTTTAATCCCAGCACTTGGGAGGCAGAGGCAGGTTGAAGCCTGTGAGTTTGAGGCTAGCCTGGTCTACCAGAGCTAGTTCCAGGACAGCTAGGATTGTAATACAGATAAACCCTATCTTGAAAAACAAAATAATAATAATAATAATAATAATAATAATAATAATAACAACAACAACAATTTCAGCACTGGAGAAGCGGAGACAGGAGGATTACTGCATGTTCTAGCTACAGTGTGGAATGCTATCTCAAAAAAACAAACAAACAAAAAACCCAAATATATGGGGTTAGGTTCAGTGGTTAAGAGCACTGGCTGTTCTTTCAAAAGACCAGGGTTCTATTCCCAGCACCCACATGGTAGCTCACAACTGTCTGTAACTACAGCTCTGGGGATCCAACACCCTCTTCCGACTTCCTTCTCACTAGACATTCACAAGGTGCACAAAATACACATAAAAAAAAAACTCAGCCGCCGGTGGTGGTGCATGCCTTTAATCCCAGCACTTGGGAGGCAGAGGCAGGTGGATCTCTGTGAGTTCGGGGTGGTCTACAAAAGCTAGTTCTAGGACAGGCTCCAAAGCTACAGAGAAAGCCTGTCTCGAAAAACCAATTAAATTAAATTAAATTAAAAACTCAAATCAGGGCCAAGGAAATGGCCTGGTAGGGAAATGCACATAATCCATAAGCCTAATGACTTGGGGTCAATGCCCAGAACCTACATAAATGGTCACATGGGGTAGTGCATGTCTGTAGCCCAGGGAGGCATGGCAGAGGTCACATGTGGTCTATAAACCCAGTACTATGGGGAAACGGGAGGCATGACGGGAGAACATGTGCAGCAGCAGAAACAAAACAGATCCTGCCTCAACAAAATGGAAAACGAGAAATAACTCCTCAAAGCTGTTTTCTGACCTTCATTTGAGTGCTGTGGCGGGCATGCACGCATGCATGCATGCAAGTGAAAAATTCAAACTCAAGTAATTAACTACATTTTCCAAGATGTAACCATGAAATGAAAAGAGAAAACCCTCTCACAAATAACAACAGAATGGTCTGGGGTTTTTTGTTTTGTTTTTTGAGACAGGGTTTCTCTGTAGCTTTGGAGCCTGTCCTGGAACTTTGCTCTGTTACCAGGCTGGCCTCGAACTCACGGAGATCCGCCTGCCTCTGCCTCCCGAGTGCTGGGATTAAGGGCGCGCGCCGCTGCCACCACCCGACCAGAAAGGTCTGTTTTAGGGAAATACATTTAGGAGCCCGATAAAAGGTATTGGTGGATCAGACTGCAGTGTGAGGAGAGTTGTAGCAACCAGTTCACACCTTTACCTTTCACAAAAGGTGGAAATCCCAACGTCGAATTTTCAGGCTCTTCCACCTGCCTCCCAAATCATCTTTGAATGAAACAAGGCATGAAAGAAAATAGAATCTTTTTGCAGTGAGTTAAACTCAACTGAACAAATATTTCCTAAAAATCTACTATGTGCAAGACATTGTGAAACGTCTGTCTCATTTTAGAGTTCAAATTATATGAGAAAAGGAAGAACAAGGTTCCCGGAAGTATAGAAAACAACCCAAAGTCGAACAGAAGCGCTCTGAGGAGTGTGTTTCAAAGGCAAGAGGACTTTGGGGACTCAAAAGCCCCAAGAACGGTAGTTTTCGAGACAATGGCCGAAGAAATAGTAGCTAGGAAGATGAAACGTGGTGAGTGTGTGAACCGTCGAAGAACCAGGAGAAGCCAAATTCTAGGTGTCCAGCAAACGCCGGACTCCGCACGCACCGCTCCGCGGACAGGCGCACCCTCTCCCGCGCAGGCGCAGGGCTTAAACCCGCGACCCTGTCTCACCTCAGGGGCTTCTGAGCTCCTCTTCGGTCAGTTTCCTCGGAGGGCACGAGAAATAATCTCGTTTGGAGAAAGCCTTAAAACCAAGCTACCAGCCGTCCTGTCAACCCGCCTCAGGCGACTGCCGGGCCACGTCCCCATGGCAACGCCGCCAAGCGCCCGTTCGAACGCGCGCGCTGACGCCCGCCCGCCCGTAGTCCCGCAGCGCCGACCAATGGCCATTCAGGGAGCTTGCCGTCGTTAACCGCCTTCTCCTCTAAAGAGCCAATCAGGGATCCGAAGAGACAAGGGGCGTAACCGTCTTTCCACCAATGGGTCCCCTGGAGGAAGATCTCGCGACAGTCCCATCAGAGAACCGCGCCTCGGAGGCGGGTCGGAGCGTCCAGTGCCCAATTCTGTTGCTCGGCTGAAGGCCAGCCGGGCTCTTCTGATTGGCTAGCGAGATACTGCTCCGTTTAAGGACCGCCTCCTGTCTCGGCGCTGCGGGTGAGTGCTGCGGTGCTGGGGGGCGGGGGCTGGAGGTGGGGGCGTGGGGCGTGGGGCAGGGGCGCGGGTGGTGTGCTGTGCTACCGACCCGCGCGGCGCCATCAGAGCTGGCAGTGAGGTGTGTGTAGGACAGGCCCCATCCACTCGCAGGGCCTCCGTTTACCGCTCTGCATCGGAGAAGAAAAGGCTCAGTGGTTCTGTGGTCCGGCGTCGCCCTCTTCTGAGTTGGCGGTGGTGTGGCTCGGAAGAATCCCAAATACAGGAAGGCCCGAGTTTGGGATTTTGAGAGCCAGTCATACCTTTTCCTTCGGCCTCAGTATTGCCTTGTTGTTGTCGATTAAACCCTGCCTGCATTCCAAGAGATTATATATATGTTTCATATATAACATGTTTTATAATAATATAAATAATATGCGTGTGTGTGCATGCGCGCGCGCCTTCCTGCCTGCCTGAATTTGTGTGCACCAAGTGCATGCAGGTCCCTCGGAGGCCAGAAGGCGTCAGATCCCAGAAGCCCGAGTTAAGGGCAGTTGTGAGCCACCTAGTGTAGGTTCTTGAGAACCGAACCCCAGTCCTTTGGAAGAGTAGCAGGTACTTTTAACCATTAAACTGTCTCTCCAGCGCCCCCCCCCCCAAAGATTTTTTATTTTTTGTTCCAACTGTTCATTCTATGAAGGCTGAGACAGTTATAATAAAGTCACAAGACTCCCATCTTAAGAAAAAAAAGCGAAACAGCTTAAATTGAGAACAGTCAAGTTGTCAAACGCAAAATGTTTACTATCCAGTGGGTATTAAGATTAACGATGTTAGAAGTTTGGCATGCCTGCGTTTGAGTAACTACCAAAAGTGTTTCTGGACCATAGTTTTTTCCTTTTCTGAAAAAAACGGTCGGTATCAATGCCTCCCCAGTTGACAGAAGACCGAGTGAGGAAATTAAGGTAAAGCGGCACAGTGCCTGGCAGGTTAGCTTCTCGGTTAAAAAGGCACCGCCGTTATTAAGAACAAATACACTAGCCAGCATGTATGCAGCACCGTGTGTTCTTTAATCCAGTGCTCATTTTAGCTCAAAAATCGTCAGTTCACGGGGGCTGGAGAAGGAATGGTGCAGTCCTTCCTCCCTATGTTACCAGGCTGGCCTCGAACTCACGGAGATCCACCTGCCTCTGCCTCCCGAGTGCTGGGATTAAAGGTGTATCCCATTACTGCCTGACTGGAAAAAAAAGGGTTTACTTGGCTTACTTTTCCACATCACTGTTGATCATTGAAGGAAGTCAGGACAGGAATGCAAACAGGACTGGACTCTGGAGGGAGGAGCTGATGCGGAGGTTGTGAAGGAGTGCTGCTTACTGGCTTGCTCCTTGTGGCCTGGTCAGCCTGCTTTCTTAGAGAATCCAGGACCACCCGTGCAGGGGATGACCCCACTCACGGTGGGCTGGGCACTTCCCCGTCAGTGACTAGAAAATGCCCTGCAGCTTGCCTACATCTTCCGGAAGCGTTTTCTCAATGGAGGCTCCCTCCTCTCCAGTGAGTCTAGTTTGTTTGAAGTTGACATAAAACTAGTCAAGACATGGATTGTCAAAGTACCTATGATGAAAGCAATTCTTTTTCTCATAAAAAGTATCCAGTTTAGGAAACGAAGAATAGAATGAGATATTACTGAACCTTAGACCTGGTCTCCACTTACCTTACGGACAGTCTGTAGCATTTCAAATTCAACTCGTTTCAAAAGGAAATCCATCCAGTTACTCAAGCCAAACACCTCTTCTGGTTCCCTTGAACTCATGCAATCTCTCAGACAGACAATGAGATATCAACCTTGTCAATGTTAGTTACCTGAGATACTGCATACGCCTCCCTTCTTTCTCATAGGCTCTCTCTTAATCTAGTTTCCTGCCATTTGCAAGCTGCTGAAATAAGCTAATAACAACAGGTCTCTTTGCCTGCAGTTTTTTCTTCCAGTTTGTTCTCCATCTTGCTTACTGCCAAAATGCTTTTGTAAAATGTCAAGCTGACAAAAATACACTTTACCTAAAACCAGCAGTCCTTATTGTCTACAGGATATAAATTAAGCCAGACTTGGTGGCATGCTTTTAATACCATCACTCCAGAGGCAGAAGCAGATGGATCACTAGGTATGAAGCTAGCCTGGTTTGCATAGAGAGTTCTGGGTCAGCAGAGGTCATATAGTGAGATCCTGTCTAAAATAAATAAAGAAATACATAAAATATTAAAAACCAATATAAGCTAAGCTGCTTACCAATGGAACGCCATTCTATGTGTGAGGTCTTTATGATGGTGCCCCAGACTGGGCTCAGTCTGGACAGAAAGTATCCTGTATGGGTGTGAGGACCTAAGTTTGACCCTAACACCCAGGTGAAAAACGCATGCACACATGCACATCCTTACGAGGTACTCCTTTGACCTAAAGATCTTTATCACTGTCTTTTTTCCCCTCCCATACCCAGACAGGGTTTCTCTGTGTAGCCCTGGCTGTCCTGGAACTCTGTAGACGAGGCTGGCCTTTAACTCAGAGGTCTGCCTTCCTCTGCCTCTCCTCATGAGTGCTGGGAGTAAAGGCGTGCACCATCACTGCCTGGCCAGCCTGTCTTTCTGTCTTACATACATCCTTATGATGTATGAAACACTTTGTAACATCTGTCTGAATGCCGTTTGCTTTCACTGGACTGTGAACCTCTGGAACGTGAGAGATTTGTAGTGTTCAGTTTCACATTCACCTAGAGAACACATTCAGCAGGCAACAGATGGGAAATCCCTCTGTAGGCGCTAGTATCAGAATCACTTAGGGTTCCTTCCCATAGCTGAACAGCAGGTGGCACCAAAAGGCCACATAACAAAATTTCCTTCCCTAAGAAACATTTTTGTTCCAACCTTGTTTGACTTTGCCCTGATCCTAGAAGCCGGTGTGTCATTGCAGGTAAAACTCTCCTGTTTTCTCCCTCAGCCAAATAGCCAAGTTTACAAAGTGATTCAGCAGCTTGATCTCCCAGAGAGGAAGCAGAGGCCCAGAGAAAGGTACAGTTGGGGGACCATTTTCTTTGTTTCTAATATTTTCATATAACTAGGATTTTTTTCTTTTTTTTTTCTTTTCTTCCTTTTATTATTATTACAAGAAATCTTTATCTGGACAGATGCTTCATTCTTCCTCCAAGAACAAAGAAGGAAGTAGTAGAGGAGGCCATGGGCAAGGAGTCCCATGGAGCTGCTTGGGAGCAAGCAGAGTTGCTCTTCCTCTTCAGGGGCATGTGCAAATTTTCTAGACATCAGATTTAGGAAAAAACCTGTGGTTTTAGGTTCCTATTTCTTAGAAAACAGCAGTGAAGTCAAGGACACCCTTGTCAAATTGGACTTTTAGGAGCCTCAGGAGACACTTTCCCTACCTAACTTGGCTTTGGTTACCTCCATCTTCCCTGCTTAAAACCTGTTTTGTGGAAAAGTTTCAGCCAGACATCCTAAACAGTCTCCAGATGAGTCCAGATTAAAGACAAAGGAGTTTTAAAACTGGTGGTGATTTTATTAATCACTTGTGCATGTTCTCGGAGCCATGTGTACCTTTAACTCTATTCATGATAAGCAGAACTGTTAAAAAAATTACAAGTTTTGGAGTTAGATTTCTCTGGATTCAAATCATATTACCAGCCATTTATGCCACTGGGCAAGTATTTTAATCTTTATGTTTATTTTACTTTTTGAGACAGTATTTATGTGGTCCAGAAAGACCTCAAGTTTATATGTAGTGAAAGCTGGCCTTGATATCCTAATACTGCTGCCTCTCTGCCTTCCAAGTATTGAGGCTACCGGTGCAAGGTGTGTGTCACTAAGCCTGGCTTACTCTTTCTTAAGATCTCAGCTTTAGAAAGGCACATTAGTGCAGGCCTTCGTCTTCATTCGGAAGGCAGAGAGGTCTCCGCTTGGTCTACATTTCTCCATCTGAGCTATACAGTGAGACCCTGTCTTAAAAATCTGTTTCCTTGGGGGCTGGAGAGATGGCTCAGAGGTTAAGAGCATTGCCTGCTATTCCAAAGGTCCTGAGTTCAAATTCCCAGCAACCACATGGTGGCTCACAACCATCTGTGATGAGGTCTGGTGCCCTCTTCTGGCCTTCACGCATACACACAGACAGAATATTGTATACATAATAAATCAATAAATATTTAAAAAAAAATCTGTTTCCTTAGGGGCTGGTGAGATGGCTCAGTGGCTAAGAGCACTGACTGCTCTTCCGGAGGACCTGGGTTCAATTCCCAGCAACCACATGGCAGCTCGCAGCTGTCCGTAACCCCTGTTCCAGAGAATCTGACATCGTTATATCAATGTGCATGAAATAAGGTTAAATAAAGTTTAATTAAAAAAAATCTGTTTCCTTATAAACTAAACATAAGTCTTAAATGATCGTCCTTTTCTGGGCGGTGGTGGCACCCACCTCTAATCCCAATGCTTAGTGGGCAGAGGATGGATCTCCAAGTGAGGCCAGCCTGGTCTATAAAGTGAGTTCCAGGACAGCCAGTGTTACTCAGAGAAACAAAGAAAAAAGAAAAGAAAAGAATCCTCCTTTGAACTTGTTTGTTTGAGACAAGATCTGTAACACAAGTTCAGTCTCCTGAATGCTAGGATTACAGGCATGTGCCACCATGCCTGGCCTTACAGGGTTGCCCTGTAGCAACTTTAGTAGTTAAAAGCTGCACAGTGTAGGTGACACAGTCTTGATGCCGGACAGCAGAGTGGCTTGAAACACTGGTTTAAGGGATGTGAGGAGGGTTTAGGGAATCTGTTATGTAAAGACTGAAGGTATGGCTCAGTTGGAGAGTGCTTACCTCACATGTGTGAAGTCTGAGTTCACGCTCTGGCCCCACAAAATAAATAAGCAAGCAAATAAAAATATGTGTTTGTGAGAGCTTTTGCAGGTAGCTGTAGTAGCATTCTTGATTAATTTGATGAATTGTTGGACCATGGCAGCATGGCCATTTGTCTGTAACCCCCCCCCCCCCACACACACACACACAGAATATCCTAGACTGAGGAAATTCTGTGTGTGGAGAAAGTCAAGAGCATTTTTCCTTAGCTTCTGGAACCTTCTGATGACATTGAGGTTTTTTTTTTTTTTTTTCTTTTCTTTTCTTCTAACCACCTCAGGCACTATGCCACTTTTCTGAAGTGTGAATTGCCTGCTGTCAGCCTGGAGTTCTCACCTCTGCAATCCTGGCTGCAGGCATATTTGCATATTGGATGCTGTGTTCTTTAACCCCCTGAGGTTTGAATACACTTGGAGAATGTATGAGAGCTGAATACTTTCAAGCCCCTAGATAGTTCCAGCTCCCTCTTCTCCAAAAAAACAGAAAACCAACAATAGCTCCATTGACTTTTATGCAAATGGCACTCTTCAAGAAAACACTGAGCTGTTTCCCAGGGCCCCAGAACATACTTAAACATTTGTTTCAGTGGGAGGTGGGGAAAGAGTTCTGTTGAGTCAATGAACATCTGTTGAGCTGCTGAGCTGGGTCCCAAGGAAACAGACTGAGTCTGGTTCTTTCTCGCCAGAGGTACCAGCAGAGACTTACCTTACAAGGGATGCATACTTAAAGTGGCTTTGTACTGGGTGACTCTAGCTATACTGGAACTACATTTCCCAGAAATCTCTTTTTTAAGGATTTGTGTGTGTGTGTGTGTGTGTGTGTGTGTGTGTGTGTGTGTGTGTGCATGAGTGTTTTATCTGCATATATGTCTGTGAACCACATGCATGCCTAGCGCCCAAGGTGGGGAGAGCCTCCATGTGGATGTTGGGAATTGAACCTGGATCCTTTCCAAGAACAAGTAAGTGTTCTTAAGCACTGAGCCAAATCTCCAGCCCCAGAATCCCCTTCTTAGTGGTTCTAGCTCAGTACTGCCCACAGCAAATGTCTGCATGCCATCTGGAAAGCTGGAGTGAAACAGCCAGGATGTTGTGCAGCACAGAGCTGACATGGCTGTAGTGCACACATCTTCATGCCAGTCTGCTGACTCGCCTTGCTGATGAAAGACAGCATCTCGGCCTGAAGACATCTCAGCTCCTACTGAATCCTCCTCTTCCGCTCTAAGATGGCCTCCATCTCTGGAGGGCTCTGGTTTACCCACTGCCATCTGTGTCACCAACCCTAGTCGTTTATCTTCATGACTTCCAGATGTGCTCACTGTTTCCATGTGCTCTCACATGTTGTAGTTTCCTTGCTGTCCTCTACTTCACGTCTAGCCCCGCCCCCAGATTGCTAGTACTACTAGGCTTTAGGCCCAGCAGCAGATGTGGAGGTGACTGGCTTGCATGATTTCTCTACTAGCTCCCAAAATACACAAAATATAAACCTGAGCTGGACTTAGTTTGTGCTGAGGTAGGAGGATCTCAAAATTGAGGCTAGCTTGAACTATATAATAAGCTCAAGACCAAGCATGAACTATATAGCAGTATCCCATCGTGAAAAACCAAGGGCTAGGAAGATAGGATAGTGGTTAGAGTACTTGCCTCGTGTCCAGATCCCAAGTGTCTGTGAGTCAGAGTCCTCTCTGATGGCATCTAATAAGTAGAGATTTATAGAGTTATTACAAGCCTGAAGACCTCACTAAAAAGGTAACACTTGAGCTATTTCAAAAGTTAAAAGTAGAGCCGGACAGTGGTGGTGCACACCTTTAATCCCAGCACTTGGGAGGCAGAGGCAGGCGGATCTCTGTGAGTTCGAGGCCAGCCTGGTCTACAGAGCTAGTTCCAGGATAGGCTCCAAAACTACAGAGAAACCCTGTCTCAGACAAACAAACAAAAAGTTAAATTAGGGCTGGAGAGATGGCTCAGCCATGAAAAGCACTGGCTGCTCTTCCAGAGGACCTGGGTTCATTCCCAGCACCCACATGGCAGCTCACAACTGTCTGTAACTCTAGTACCAGGGGACCTGACACCCTCACACAGACATACATGCAGGCAAAACATCAATGCATAGAAAATAAAATTATTAGATGGGCGTGTCGGTGCACACCTTTAAACCTAGCACTCAGGAGGCAGAGGCAGGTAGATCTCTGTGAATTTGAGGTCAGCCTGGTCTACAGAGCTAGTTCCAGGACAGCTAGGGCTGTTACACAGAAAGAAACCAAAATAAAGCAAAGAAGTGGGGCCAACAATGTGGCTTAAGATGTAAAATGCTTGCTGTTAAGCTGGACAATGAGTTCAATCACTGGAACAGATAAAAATAGGAGAGAATTTCACACATGTGCCATGTCATACCTATAGCCCCCACAACAATAACTATAAATAAGCAATAGTTTTCAAAGGGTTAAGCAGGAAGAGTTATCTATATGAGTTGGGGATAGGCTTCTAGTACACACAGCTGGTTTAAGCCAATTGAAAGGGCAATGGGGAGTTCTCCCTTTCTAGAAGATTGTCTTCCCTGTGAGTCAAGCATACATAGAATAAGCATCTTTCCTTAGCTGTCTGATCAGATTATAGGCCACACTGTTTCTTCAGTGCGGCTTCTTTACACACTGCTAGAATGCACCTTTTCTACTATGCTAAGACTTTCTCCCTACTCCCATTCCTCTCCAAAGGAAAATACTAGCCTTTCCTCTCTTTTATGGGTCTACATGGCCACCCAAGACCTGTTATTCCTGTCCTTCATGAAGGCATCTTTCTATTCTCATGCTCTATTTTTTTTTCTTTTTGTCTTTATTTTTATTTTATTTTTCTTTTTTTTTGAGACAGGGTTTCTCTGTAGCTTTGGAGCCTGTCCTGGAACTTACTCTTTAGACCAGGCTGGCCTCGAACTCACAGAGATCCACCTGCCTCTGCCTCCCGAGTGCTGGGATTAAAGGTATGCGCCACCACCGCCTGGCCTAGTCTTAGATTTCTGAGGTTTCCTAGGGCTCTGGCATTCATTATATGGAGCTCTTCAAGAGGCAAGAGGAAGGTACCCTACATTTATTACTTTCTAATTGTAGGAATGATATAGGATCATAGTTTCTACATGAACTCTAAGCCAGTGATTAAAATACTGTTCAGTAGTTCTGCAGTGACAAGGTGTTTCCTTGTGGCTTCCAGAATGGGAAGTGTTCTCAGCATAAAGAAGGAGTCCAGGAAAATAGAACATGGTGTTTCATAAAAGCCTATGTACTACTACTTTACATATGAATTTTTTAACTCAAAAAAGATCTCATTATACATATTCTGTACCATAATTTTTTCAATTAATATATCCAAAAATATTTTCTTACAGCCAAAACATTTGGTTCTATCCCATTTTTAATGGTGTGTGTGTGTGTGTGTGTGCGTGCGCGTGTGTGCCACAGAGATAGATGTATATACTGAAATGTCACTAACCATTCCCACACCAATGCTTTTAAAAAGTGATATACCAGGTGGTGCACACCTTTAATCCCAACACTTGGTAGGCAGAGGCAAGAGGATCTCTGAGTTTGAGGCCATCCTGGTCCACAAAGCAAATTACAGGACAGCCAAGGCTACACAGGGAAACCTTGTCGTCCCCCCTCCCCCAAAAAACCCCCAAACAACACACACACAAAGAGAACAAAAGCAACAACAAAACACTGAGTTCATTTCTAGTTCTTAAGACCTTCCCACCCACCATTTTAGAATGGTTTGGGTGTCTGTAGCTTGGTGATAAGCCTAACATGCATGAAGCCTTCTTTTTGATTCCAACCACAAAAAAAAAAAAAAAACCCTAAATAAATAAGTAAAAAATAAGCAAAAAGGAGAGGAGAGGAAAAGGTGTTTGGTTTATTTGTGAGAAATCCCTAAAATAGCACTTGATAGCAATCCTGAGAATTACTCGGAAGAGGTGTTTGGGCCTGACTCTTATGCCTTTGACAGCCAAGAGTTCCTCTCTTTGTTTATTCTTTAGTTTGAGACAAGGTTTTGCTATGTAGTCCAGGCCGTCTGCAAATCTTCAGTGATCCTCCTGCTTCTGCCTCTGTCGTGCTGGGATTGCAGGTGTGCGCCATCACACCAGCAAGGAAAATAGCACGTAGCTTTCTTTTGGTTCTGCCATCCTACTTCAGTACCTTACTGCCCAGGGTGCTACCCTCCACCTTGAACCACATTCTCCCCTCCTCTCTTTATGGACTTGTCTTTTGTCTCTTGTTTCTCTCCTCAGACACCCCTTCTTTCAGTAAGCCTATGAGAATCCCTCAGAGGAGGTCACATTGTTGCCTATCACATTTTTCCTTTGTGATTTCTTAGCTCTATGTGTGCGTGTGCATGTGCACATGCATGTTCCCCTGCACTGCATAGCACATGTGTAAAGGTCAGAGAACAACTTTTCTGGTGTGAACTCTTTACATGGGTTGTCAGGCTTCTGCAGCAAGCATTTCATCCTTGATTACCCCTTGAGCCATCTCAGTGGCCCCCTTCCAGATATTATTCCACAGAAATCTACTGAGATTTTAGTATGTGCGAGGCACTTTCTAAATCACTATAGAATTGTATCACAGTTAAGAAGTCTGGAGACAGGCCGGGCGGTGGTGGCGCATGCCTTTAATCCCAGCACTTGGGAGGCAGAGGCAGGCGGATCTCTGTGAATTCGAGACCAGCCTGGTCTACAAGAGCTAGTTCCATGACAGGCTCCAAAACCACAGAGAAACCCTGTCTCGAAAAACCAAAAAAAAAAAAAAAAAGAAGAAGTCTAGAGACAGAGGCAGGTGGAGCTCTGTGAATTTGAGGCCAGCCAGAGCTGCATTAATGAGAAAAAGAAGAAAGAAAACTAAATGGTGATTACGCAGCCCTCATAGCAGCCTCTTTAGGTAGAACTGTTATCCTCCAAGTCTAGGCCCCAGATTCATGCTGTGAACAATCGTGATAGTGAAGGAGAGATTTCTTCCTTTCTTCCCTTCCTTCCTTCTTTCCTTCCTTCTTTCTTTTTTTAACCATTGGTGGTTTTTACTTTTCATTTGGACCAAATGCATATTTGACTTAATAGACATGAATGTGAGACTGAAAAATGAACAAAAGTGTCATGGTGTATCAGACTACCTAAGTGACCCCACTGGAGTCTCTGCTTTAAGGACTCGGGATATAGGCTGAGGGAAATGGGATTGTGAGCTTAACTGTAACACGTTCCTAGTGTCTTTTCTGTTTCAGTGAGTTAGTTGCAGAGTCCCTGTAGTCTCATAATGCATACAAACGAGTCTTAAGTTTCACAGGGAGACCTGAACCTCAGGGTAGAAGCCCCTTGATGCGGGTGGTTATCAGGGTCCTGTAGTAGTTACAGACAAAGCTTCGTTCCTAACCCTGGATGCCCCTCTGTATCAGTTATGTTCTTATTGCTGTGACAAACACCATAACCAAAAGCAACTTGGGGAGGAAAGGGCTTTTTTCAGCTTAGAGTTTATAGTTTGTCATGCAGGGAACTCAAGGCAGAAACTAAAACAGAGAGCATGGAGGAACACTGCTTACTTGGCTTGCTCAGGCTGATTGATTGATTGATTGATCTATCAATCGATTGATTGATTTTGAGACAGGGTTTTTTCTGTGTACCCTTGACTGTCCTGAAACTGCTGGAACTGACTCTGTAGACCAGGCTGGGCCTCGAACTCACAGAATTCCACCTACCTCTTTCTCCTCCCTCCTGAGTGCTGGGATTAAAGGTATACACTACCATGCCTGGCTGTTCAGCCTGTTTTATTTATATGTATGTATGTGTGTGTGTGTGTGTGTGTGTGTGTGCCTGTGTGTACATACACATATTTTCAGTTTTTTGTTTTTGTTTTAGTTTTTTGAGACAGGGTTTCTGTGTGTAGCCCTGGCTGTCCTAGAACTCACTTTTTCCACCAGGCTGGCCTTGAACTCAGAGATCTGCCTGCCTTGGTCTTTCCAGTGCTAGGATTGAAAGGCTCGTATCACCACTGTCTGGCCAGCCTGCTTTCTTATACCACCTACCTAAGGATGACCCCACCTTCGGTGTGCTGGATCTTCCTACATCAACCACTAATCAAGAAAATATTCCACTTGCCTACAAACTAATCTTCTAGAGGCATTTTCTCAACAATAGCAAAACTAAGAAACTAACCTCCATTTCTTGCCATGCTGTCTGTCCTTTTGTGGGTTGAGATCACTGTTAGCCAGTCCTTCCTATTCTCCAGCTATGCCCCATGTGTGGATTTTCCTGTTGTGTATAGCTTCCCAGTGTTTCACTTCTTTTTTAACTTCATAGATAGAGCATGGCCCTGAGAGCATGTGGCTTGATCATCTTTCGAAGACACCTTATTCCCAAGGTGGACAACAGCACAATTGAGTTTCTGCTGCTGCAGGCATCAAATGGCATTCATCACTGGACTCCTCCCAAAGGTACAGGCACAGGGGTTAGCTTTTTGGGGAAATGCCAAGCTTTGCTCAGGAATCCACCCTGACAGACTCCCTACAAGGCTTGTTTCCCAGTAAGGGTACAGCAGGAGGAGGTGGGAGAGGCAAGAGCACTTAATCTTTTCTATGTATGAGGTCTCTAGGCCAGCCCAGACCTAGAAATAGGATTCTGCAGCTGACCCCAGCAGACAAAGCACCTGGTGTATTTCTGTCATTCACCTGTGCTCCAGCCCATGCATGGCTAGACAGGAGAAGAGCCACTGGGCCAGGGCTTGGGACTGTCGAAACTGAGTAAAATGACGGCTGTGTGCCTACCTTTCTGAGTTTTTCATCTACCAAAGTAGAGCTTGACTTAAAAAATCCCGTGTTTTCTTCCTGCCCTTTTTCTGATTTAACTTGATAAGATCCTTTGCTTCTTTGTTTAGTGTTCCTGTCACTAGGGTTTTCTTTTGTGGACCACACATCCAGGGAGTATGAGTTCGGGGCTGTTAGAGGCGCAGAGCAGCTGGCTTTCCTGGTCATAGGCCACTCCCATATTCTGGCAGGAATGGAAGGGTCCTTCTCAGACCAAGAGGCCGTGAAGATCATAGAGACCTTGGGCTTGTAGTCTCAGCAGCCACCTTTGCCTGGGCTCCTCACTGAGCACCTGGGACAGAGCTAGTCAAGTCTTCAAAAGGCAAAAAGGTAAAGAAAGTCCAGTGGCCTGGAGCCTTTGACATGGCCAAGATGTATTTGTAAGTAGGTTTTCATTCACTAGCATTCTGGATGCTATTTTAAGGGTACAAAAAATCCCCTTGGATGTTCCTAAAAGAGAAGGCAGACTATGTGAGAAGAGGTGAACGGAGTGCCCCCTGAGCCCGTGCCATCTGAGTATGTATTTTCATAACTCTTCTTGGAAGCCCACTCATGCTATTGGGTGTGTCTTACTTTTTCTGACTGCCTCTTTTTCTGTTAATTCTGATGTTGCCGGGCAATGGTGGCTAACACCTTTAATCCCAGCAGAGGCAGAGGCAGCCGGGTCTCTGAATTCAAGGCCAGCCTGATCTATAGAACAAGTTAGTTCCAGGACAGCTAGGACTACACAGAGAAATCCTGTCTTGAAAAGCCAAAAAAGGAAAAAAAAAATTCTCATGCTACACTTACATTAAAATGTCTTTATTTAATCCAACTCTGCTTCAGATGGGGATGAAGCCATCTTTGATTGAGGCCATTGGGATGGTCCCAGTGAGTAATAACAGATTGGCTCTGGCACTTTCTGGGATGAGGCCCCAGAGTCAACAGCCCCGACAGATAAAAACATAAGGGTAGGATGGGGAGGCATAGACAGACAGCTGAGATTGAAAGAAAACAAGACATGGCAACAGAAAAGAAGTTTTTGCACATTTGAGTTGCACAGGGAAGAACAGGGTAAGAGAGAGGTGCCACAAATTACTGTAGCTAGGAGTGTTCACACTCATTTTCTGATCACCGGAGTCACATTGCGGGTCCTCTCACTTGGAGATGTCAAAGGACCTCTCCTAATCATCTTCGTCTCTGACCTGGGATGAAGTTACCCTGCTAGCATTGGTGGGCAGCAGACTGAAGAGTTCCTGGGCCGGTATCCTAAGATTTGCAGATAGCTGTGTGGGGGTGTGCACCCTGAATCAGTGTCTTCTGGCCCCTCCTACTTTTCTTCCTCAATACATTATCAGTGCGGTGTGTGCCCACTGTAGGAAGTGGTGTGCACAAAAACTTTCTCCAGAAGCGGGTGGCTAGAATGGATTCCAGAAGTGCCAAGTTCCTATTTTCCTTTCAGCAGCCTCTAGGCTGCTGCCCAGACCCCTGGGAGGTAGAACTCCTAGTGTATAGCTCCACCTTCAGGCCAACGAGGGAACAGCTGTCAGTTCCTGCTCCTCATGAGCGCCTGACTGAACTAGGAGGGCCCCTCAGCAACTTGCCAGAGCCAGGAGGAGATACAGGTTACCAGAACCTTTTCATTGCTTCTGGGCCCTTCTGGGACACTAAGAATTTGTGGGAAAGGCCTAGGGGTAAAGCTGGGGGCCACCACAGTCTGCAGAGCTTCAAGTGTTGCTGCAACAGTTTCTTGGCAGCTGTCGGCTTTGATTTGGGTCTTGCCAACAAATTTTCTTAGAACTGGCTCTTGGCTTGTCCGTAGTCTTAAGTTCCCATCACGACTTTCCCTGTGAGTCTGAAATCTGGCCTTGCTCAGTTAGGAGGATGAAAACAATTTGAGAACGCCTTGATGGCTACTTGGAAACAGCTGCTGGGGCAGCAGTGCGGGGCTTGCGCCTGTTTACTGTAGAGTGTTGAGTCCTCACTGGGGCTTTCAGCTGGCCCCCACTCTGCCAAGAGACTGCCTCTCCTTGGAAAATTACTTTAAGGTCTCCAAGAAAAGGGGTCCCTGTGAGTAAAATAGGGAGAAAACTCAAAAGAATGGGAAAGCAGAGATCTGAGGAAAGCCATCTCGCGGACACCAGAAGGCAGTCCGTGTTCTGGGATGGGGCTGTAGCTTAGTGGTAGAGCGCCTTCCTCCTGTGCACACAGCCCCAATTGTGACACGTGGCACAGCAATAACGAAGCAATATCTGAATCTGACCTGCCAAGCACATTATTGTCACTCTCTACAAAGATGGAGTAGGAAGGAGGGATTTCTCAGATCTGAGAACCGACACGGTCTGCCTTACAGCCTCCCTAGGGATGTTAGGGTACCGTGACCCGCAGCCTGCCTTTAGCCCAGGCACTCCCAGAAAGGTCCCTGGCTTTCTACCACCTGTCCTGGAAGTCAGATTCTTCTTTATTTCCTCCTACCCAGGCCATGTGGACCTTGGAGAGACTGACTTGGAAACAGCCTTGCGAGAGACTCGGGAGGAAACAGGCATAGAAGCAAGCCAGCTGACCATCATTGAGGGATTCAGAAGGGAGCTCAACTATGTGGCCTGGAAGAAGCCGAAAACAGTGATTTACTGGCTGGCAGAGGTGAAAGACTACAATGTAGAGATCTGCCTCTCCCAGGAGCATCAAGCCTACCGCTGGCTGGGACTGGAAGAGGCCTGCCAGTTGGCTCAGTTCAGTGAGATGAAGGCAACACTCCAAGAAGGACACCAGTTCCTCTGCTCCACACCGGCCTGAGCTGACCAGAACAAATGCTTCCATTGCTTCCTTGAGGGTCTCCTGAGATGAACCCACCCTCCTATCCAGGGAAGGATGCACTGGTCTTTGCCTTGCTATGGCCAAGAGCAGATAGGTTGGTGGAAGTAAAATTAATTTGGCAATCTTGGGTGAGGGCAAGGAAGCCTCGGATTCAGTCCCTAGCATAGACAATAATTACTTTCAAAATAAGAGCAAGCAAGAATTTTAGCTAAGTTAAACAGCAAAGAAGGGTAAAAAAATTTAAATGCCAGCCCTAGTAAGTGTAGCCTTGTAATTTATAAATAAACTTCAAACAGTTTACATAGCCTTTTAACCTGTGTGCTTATTTCTTGGAATCATTCCATTGGTTGGGAAAAAGAAAACTGAAGGCAGTGGTGGTGCACACCCTTAACCCCAGCACTCAGGAGGCAGAGCAGGCGGATCTCTGTGAGTTTGAGGCCAGCCTGGTCTACAGCGTGAGTTCCAGGGCAGCCAGGACTACACACAGAAAAAAATCCTGTCTTGAAAAATGAGAGAGAGAGAGAGACTGAAGAGATGCTGCAGCACATCATCTAGGGTGGCCCTTCTGCTCTGCAGCTCCAAGCACTTCCTCACCCACATACAGACCCATGGAGCCGAGATTTCTGAGCCAATGGAACTGGAGTGCAGAAATCGAATGTTTTGTTCCGATATAAATCACCATATTTTGTAGATTACATAGGAAATATTTCAGACCCAAAACTTTGGGCTGCCTGGGCTAAAACAGAGAGGTGGGAAACAGGTGGATAATCAGGTTAGTAGCACTTGTGCCTTGCCGTTTAACCTGGCCTGTTCCCCAGAGTAGAGAGCCTTGTCATCATGGCTGAGGTAGAGAATGAAACAAGCCCAAGTTCATGGGCTCTGCCCCTCACCCAAAACTACCTTCCCCACGGTAAGCGAACTTAGTGTTGCCATTTCTTCCTAACCTCTGCCTGTTGACTCTCTCCATGACGCCGCTGTAAGACCCCGAGGTGCAAGAGTTGGGTCTTGGCCTTCTTTTGCCTGGCTACTAGGGCTCAAGGAATGCCAAGGCAGGTGTCAGATCCGAGAGCCTGTCCAGCAGCCGTTAGCAGCTGGGTTCATGCGGATTTTATTAGAGGGTTGTTGCCCAGTGAGGCACAGAAGACTGGAAGGGAAGGGGCATTGGCAAAGGGCAGGGTGGATTACCAGAGTCAGGAAGGAGAGCAGAGTCACCCGGGCTTAAGCAGCCTTCCAGATGTTTCCAGTCACGGGCTCTCTGTGCAGACAGGGCAGAAGCAGAAGCCCTAGTGAACAGATCCTGGAGCACAGCCAAGGACCTAAGTGGCTTTGTTCCTCGCCCCTTTGAGCAGCATTCCCCAAAGGAGGCCTGCTGCAGGAAGTTTTTGGAGCTTAATGTTCTCTTCCAGGCCAGCAGGGACCACATCCCACTGATTTAATAAAGGCCTGCTGGGCAGTGGTGCCAAACCACAGACAGGCTGCCTCCTAACAAGGACTGGCCAGTCTGCCCGTGCTCCTCGAAGAGACCAGAATCTGAACATTCTAAAACCTCATACATCGAAGTTGGAAGGGACTGAAAAGGACCTGATTATGCTGCTTATTTTCATTGCAGGGGAAATTTATGAGGCCTGGCATGGCGTCAAATGCTTGTAACCTCAGCACTTTAGAGGCTGAGACAGGAGGACTGCTGAGAGTTCAAGGCCAGCCTGAGCTACAAGAAACAAAAACGGGCTGGGGAGATGACTCAGTGGTCAAGGGCACTGCCTGCTTTTCTAGGGGACCTGGGTTTGATTCCTAGCACCCACGTGGTGACTCATTACCATCTGTAACTCCAGTTCTAAAGAATCCAGTGTCCTCTTCTGGTCATGGCATGCATATGGTACCCAGACATCCATGCAGGCAAAATGCCCATACACATAAGATAATTTTTTTTAATCTAAAAATAAAAATAGCAGACAGGGCAAGGAGAAAGTGGGGAAAAGGAGGAAAGAAAGGAAATAGCCCTTGGTCCTGGAAATTGTCTATATGTGGGAAGCTTTGAAAATAAGATGGCACAGTTAGATTCTCTAGAATATCTTACAACGTGGCCAGTGAGGTGGCTCAGTGGGTTAAAGCGCTCACTGTGCAAGCCTGACAACCTGAGTGTGATCCCCGTATCCCACAGGGAAGGAGAGAGCCAGTTCCTCAGGCTTGCCCTCTTCACACATCACCGCCAGCAGTCAGAAGGTCCTTACAGAGTGTTCTGTTAACACTGTAATGTAGCTCTCTGTAGACACAGAGGGCTGGAGAGATGCCTTAGTGGTAAGCGTGCTTGTTGCTCTTGCAAAGGACCTGGGTTTCATTCTCAGTGCCTCTGTGGTGGCTCATAAGCACCTGCAGCTGCAGTTCCAGGGGATCTGATGCCCTCTTCTGACTTCCATGGGCACCAGGCACACATGTGGTATGCACAGGTACACATGCATACATGCAGGCCAAACACTCATATACATAAGAAATAAACTACAAACCAGTCCTGGCAACATGCATCTATAATCCCCAGTGGCCTCTCCCGGCTACTTACAGTGTGCCAAGCTTCAGCTGCTCTTCATGACTCCTTCATAGCCTTAAAACCCATGTGCTGACCCCAAGGAGACAATTCTCAGAAGATTTGCCTCTACGTTGGTCTTTTCTTAAACGCAACAGGTTCTTCAGCACGAACTGACCAGAACCACAGATTCTTAATTCAGAATAGCTCACAGCTCCCATAGTCTTTGAGGAACTTTCAAACTTCCCTCTGACACCTCATGAGCTAGACTTCCACCATCTGCCCTGCTCTTAGTATTACCTTCTAAGTTCCTGTATATCTTAGGGTTACTATTGCTGTGATGAAACACCATGACCAAAAGCAAGTTGGGGAGGAGAGGGTTTATTTGGCTTACTCTTCCTCATAGTCCATCGCTGAAGAAAGTTCGGACAGGCATAGTACACATACATGAAGTGAAAATAAACAAATCTTTAAAAAAGAAAAAAATAAGGAAATGGTTTCTGGGTTTATTAGCAGGCAGGAAAACTATTTCTGGTAACAGTATTTTTCTTTCTTTTAATATATTATTATTATTAATTACTACTACTACTACTTTTGAGACAGGGTCTCAAATCCCAGGCTGTCCTCAAACTCATTATATCTAAGTATGACTTTGAGCTTTTTTTTGAGACAAGATCTCACTATGAGCCTTTTGACTAGCCTGGAATTTGCAATGTACGCATGACTGGACTTGAACTCACAAAGATCTACCTGGATCTGCCTCCAGTGTTGGGATTAACCAGTTCTTTGTCCAGTGTTTGTGGTGCCAGCACTCTCTCAACAGAGCTTCACCCCACACCCTGTGTAGAGAATGAACATTAAGTGTTGCAAAAAAATGGCAACAAGGTGAGATGTGTGTTAATTAGCTGGGTTAAAGCATTACACAATTCGTGTGTGTGTGTGTGTGTGTGTCTGTGTGTGTCTGTGTGTGTCTGTGTACTTTAAAGCAATACATTGTGTATCTGAGTGATGGTGGTACACGCTTTTAATCCCAGCACTCAGGAGCCAGAGGGAGTCTGGCCAACCTGGTCTACAAAGCAAGTACAGGACAACCTGAGCTGTTACACAGAGAAACACTGTTTCAAACAACAACAACACCACCAACAACGAAAAGCATCGCGTTGTAATAATAGATATATAAACTTACCTGGAAATTTAGAAAATAAGTTTTGGTTGAGGAAACAGAATGATAACTGTCTTTTTATTTCTACTTTATGAGTTTTCCAAGTTTTCTAAAATGCTGATACCTTTGTATAAATCATAGCTTTTAAAAGTTTTGTTTCTATTTATTGTGGCTATTAGTAAAAGGTTTGTTTTATTTACTTTACTTTTTATTCTTGACTTTTTGAAAGAATACAAATTAATTTTTTTAAAGATGTATGTGTTTTTATTTCCTGTGTAAAGAGTTTTGCCTGAATGTGTGTGTACCACCTGTGTGCAGTGCCTAAGAAGGCCAGAAGAGGGCAGTGGATCCCTGGAAGTGACACTCAGAGGTTGAGTGCTGAGTGTGGGCACTAGGAATTGAGCCTGGGTTCTCTGGAGCAGCCAGTGCTCTTAACCACTGAGCATCTATCTCTTCAGTTCGTTTTTTTTTTTTGTTTTTTTTTGTTTGTTTGTTTTTTTTTTTTAGCTTTTTGAGACAAATCTCTTAACTATGTAGCCCAAGTTGTCCTCAAACACACAGTCCTCCTGCCTTAGCTCGCTGGGCGCTGTGAATACAGGCATGTGACACCACACAAGCTTAAAAGGCGTGTTCTTGAGAAGAGAGGCTGTTCCTGTAAGAAAGACAAAACTGGTTTGGGTATGAGCAGAAAATGTTCAAAGTATGGCAAATTGTTTACAAGCAGATATAGTTTTTATAAGTATGAAGCTTTGGGGGTTGGAGAGGTGGCTCAGAGGTTAAGAGCACTGGCTGCTCTTCCAGAGGACCCTTCCTGAGTTCAATTCCCAGCACCCACATGGTGGCTCACAACCATCTGTAATGAGATCTGATGCCCTCTTCTGGCATGCAGACATACATGCAGGCAGAATATTGTATACATAATAAATAAATAAATAAATAAATAAATAAATCTTTTTCAAAAGATGTATGAAGCTTCAAAGGGCTGAGAAAGAGGAAAAGAAGGACCAAAGACAATGGAATTTTTTTCAATTAGAAAGGGACATTCACGTTAGCTATTCCTTCCCCGGCATCAGATCAAGCTTCATGCAGAAACAAAAGATGGGTAAAATGTGTTGTTATAAGGCTAAAATAATAACAGGTGAAAAGGCTGGAACCAGAGTTCTAGTTTCTGTTTATTCTAGAATGAACAGTCTCACTCTGTTCCAGGCTGACCTGGAACTCACACGTAGTCCAGGCTGACCTTAAATTGGAGGTGATCCTCCTGCTTTGGTATCCTGAGTGCTGGGGTTCATGGCATATGCCACCATACCTGGATTGGAGGCTTTAAAAGAACAATCGAGGCATAATTTATATATATGAGTCATCAATTTTTTTGTGAGACAGAGAAGGTCTTATTACAAAGCCTTGGGTTGCCTGGAACTCACTTGTAGACTAGGCTGGCCTTGAACTCACAGAGATCCACCTACCTCTACCTTCCAAGTGCTGGGATTAAAAGCTTGTACCACAATCCTGGGTAGTACATCATTTTGAAAAGAATAATTTAGTAGTTTTTCTTTATTCACACGGATGTGTAATCATCACCACTACCTAATTTTAGAAGATTCTCAACACTCAAAA